CTGATAAGGTGGTGTCTGTTTATCAATCAATGACAAAGAAAAAGAATGAAAAAAGAGTAAATTATTCAGGTATTTTACTTATCAAATTGAAATATGCAGTACAAGTTTTGTGGGAGGTATGTTTATGAGAATTCATTGTTACAGAGCCCTGAAGAAGAATTTAATTAAATTCGAAACGTCGGCAAGAAAACAATTGTGTTTTTAAGAAAATACATTTAGAATACAGAGTTCCATTGAAAAAAACACAGGCGAATATTTTTTATTGTTGGAATTCAATTGAAAAACTTAAAAAAGAAAAAAAAATAAAAATTAAATCTCAGAGACGGTTGTGCTAAAACGAATTTTGATAGTAGGTAAATAAAACTGTATATTAGATGCTAGGGAACAACTTTTGATTGAATATTATATTCATAAACTAGAACCCAAACAGAAAGCATTTATGATTCAACACCAGAGAGCGTTGTTTCGACCCGCCATAGGTATCATCAATGGTGCTAAGCTGAACCACAATTACATCTCCCCTTACAAAGATGCCATCCATGGCGCTTCCCAAGGTGGTTCTCTGTCTTTCACTGCAAGGCAAACAGCAGGTCGAAACAACGCTGTCTGGTATTGAATCATAATTACAACTGACCTCCTTTGGGATCCTCGTTTATTATTAATATTAAAACATTGAGTAGAGATACCATAGCTGGCGTCTTCAAAAGGAAAGATATTATCGCTATCGTTTGAATATCGTATGTCCAATATATCATATGATGTTAGGAATCACACGTTAAAAGGTAAGACCTCGTTAATCCTTAGCTCGCACAAGTTTCGGCTTCTGAGGGTTGTCGTTCGTAGGGGTGCGACAGCTGGTTAACGGAAAAACAGATTTTAAACAGATTTTTTTAAACAGATAGGGAAAGAGTGGATTCACCTCGTTGGGAATGGTTGGGAAATATAGCTCTAATGGAAGAGAAAGTTCAATTCTGAATACATGTGACGGCCACAAAGTTCACTGACAGGTTTCTATCAAAAAATGTAAATAAACTTATTTAGATATTTTTTCGAGGAATATTGTAGATAATAAATTGAGATATACACATATATGAAAAATTTGGAAATAGATACAAGGAAAAAAGGGGGAAAAGGTATGAATTTATTTCAAGATCTAGAACAAGCCTTAATCATAACATTTCTTTGACTCAAAATTGTAGACATATCCTTTTTTTTGCAATTGAGACCAAATCAATGTAAACACCTCTAGCAAATTTTCAATTTTCTAGTCAAATTTTTGGATTCGTTAGATCATTGCAATTTTCGTAGAAATTTTAATTTTTTCGAAAATTAATACTAGCTGATAATGTAACTATTTATGAGTGAAATCATTTTTGAAAACAATCAAGTTTTTTATCCAAAACGAGCTTTTTTTTAATCATCAGAAGTACAATACTTTTCCCGACTCGCGTTTCTTCAACCAAGTTGGTGTCTTGATTTTTTTTTCATCTCCTGAAGACGCCAACTTAGTTAGTGAAGCGCGTGTCAAGAAGACGCTTGTTTTGGATTTATTCTATATAGGCATTTTATTACAAGTTATCAGAGCTTTGGTTGTTTATAACTCTTTGAACATTATTAGATCTCATCACATCATTATTAGTAAAAATTATTTCATGTTTGAATCCTGTATGTACACCCAAATTAATGGTCACATTCTGACTAATACATGTATTGTTATCAAGAATAAATAAATTCTCAGATCCTATGGTGTGCCATAGAAATCAATAACTGTATGTATTAATCTGATAAGGTCAAGTCAATATTTCACCTCAGAATAAATTAAAACTCAAAGGTTAACTCCGGACGTTTTCCGCTCTGTTTCCTCGATACACGTACCATTTGAGTTAACGTCATTAGTCTAAGATCGTTTTGCTTTCATCATTATTCGTTATTCAGTGAATTTAGAAACAGTTCCACATATTTCGAAGACACACAAGACAACAAAAACAAATAAATTTGAAAAATGAATGTGTATATAGTTTGATAATTCATTTGTGAAGATTTCAAGTAATGATATTTAACATTCACATTATGGTATTATGAACTCATATACTTTATGATTATGTTAACTATATGATTATTCATTGATATTTTGTTATATTTTTGTTAAAAATTAACTCAGTACTTTTGTAATTACACTATGGCAATCCCCCCACTGTATTTCCTATATTCTCCCATTTTTGGAAGAAATTGCAAACGAAACTACATTCAAACAAGCTATTCTGAATAAGTCATTTGAAATGTTCAAATTGAACACTATTGAATGGAACTAATTACTAATGAAAATAAGACTTCAAGAGGGAATTGAAAAACTAAGCGAGTGTACTACAAATACGGAAATTCTGCAAGGTCACACCTCTTGTGTTTTCAACAAGAATCATCAGGGCAGAAATGTAAGACATAAATATGTATTTGAATTATTATATGAATTCATGGAAATGGGTGATATTAATAACAGAGGTATTATTGTTGCAGTTCTAAGCCGCATTTCTTCTAAAGAAAATACACAGTGTTTAGCTAAGTTGCCTCAAGCATCGGGAGTAACTTATGTATTTACAAAGAATCAATTGATATGTTCGCATTTAAGTTTTTTGCAATCAAGGGTGAGAGTTTGAGATAATTATCTATTGGTGTTCCGTCTATTTTCTGAAGTTTAGCATGCCACTAATGACTTTTTTTGGGTAGATTATTGTATATTATTTTTGAAGTAATAATATTTTATAAAACTTTACAACTATGAATTTAGAGTTTTGCAAAATTGATATTTTGTCAGAATGTAAATATAACCAAACATTATGCATGTAAAGAATTCTAGGCGATAATGTAATATGGATGTACCTACCTGGAATTGTAATGTATTCACTCTTATGACAAAACTTTAACATTCTCATACGTATATAAACCTAATCCTAATATAATTTAAATTCTTTTTAAAAACATTATTTAAAAAAATAAAACTCTATACTTTTTATAATTCGAACTATTCTAATACTTCTTCTTGTTTTTTTTCTCTATCTATTGGCCTAAGCAACGAGGGCTATCCGGCCAGTCGGTGACGATAAAACAAAAAAAATCACATTTTGAACTTATTAGGAAGGAGTAACATTTCAACCTCGGTTTCTATTATTCAATTTGGAAAGCTCATACTTCAAATATTTCAGTGATTATAACCCAACCTAACCTGACGTCATTCACAGTTCCTATCGATCTGAGTTTTAAACGTCAAGTTAACATAAATCCAAGTAGAAGTCGAGAATATTAGAAAAATAATGAGTACGTCTTCCTACGCCTTCATACAACTGTAACAACCATTGAGATTTTTTTTGAACAGTAAAAGAGTTCCAATTAGATCAATGTATAAGACAGTTGTCGAGAGTTTGCCCCTTACAAACACGGGAGGGGGCAAATATGGAACTGTCGCGAGACACACCAAAAAATTCCAAAGGATTGTTTCAAGTTATAATAACGTGCTAACGTTTTGAATGAACCAATTTATGAATCCATCAGATCAACTGGTGGATTCTATTGAGAATTTAAAAACTCGCCTGCAGATGTTTTATGAATCATGAAGTTACATTTTCTGGTCGAAATGACTTCGAAACTCTTTCGAAATTATTTCAATAGTGTTTTCGTATCCTCAAATACCGAATCTTACAATTTTATTCTCTCAAATTCCAAATGTATGATGTTTACTCCCACCAATTTGCTACATATAGAATTTGTAATAATTTCTCAGAAAATAATAAATGGAACAGTTTTTGGAAATTAGTAGCATAAGCACTGCAAGCATCACTGCACCACTAGAATGCAGCTAAGGACAAATGAAAAAGCTCAAACCGATATATACCGCTATTACAAATCTGGTTATTTCAGACTGGCCTTTTCATTTTCAGTCGATGAATATGCAATTAATATGAATTCATGTTTGAAAATTTCGTTTTTGATCAAACATAGCAGTTCGATAGTTTCTTCGTTCTTTTGTAATTCTAAGTTATTTATTTTCATAAACTACACCTCAGAAAATCAAAGTTATTTAATTTACGTAGTCTTAATCACCTTCTGGTGGGGCGAAACGTGATCCGATTTCTTTAATCATCTTTTGTTTCAGTTTTAGATTACATCATAAACATTCTTGTATTACATTCGTCTCATGTAGGTATATAAAAAGTGGGTGAAGAATTTTTTTGAACAAGAAGAAAGGAAAATTTATGGAAATAATCTGTTTCGAAAAATTGTGGAAAATCTTGAAAAGTTGATGAAAAAAATATTTGTGAGACATTATCTTCAAGTATTGAATAGTTTAGTAATAATAATTCATTCCTCTATGATCATACAAGAGTGCAGATTATAAAAATGAATATGTGATGCTTGTCTTGGGAAAATGCACAATAATAATATTAAAATGTATTTATAATTTCAATAATAATCATAATGAATGTGATATACACACTTATATGAGTGTATTCTTGGTTGACCCAGAATCCAGCTTCAAACTTTTTGTTGAATATTTTTCTTGTCCGCTTTTTTGTGCTCTACAATTAATATGTTTGATTTTCGCCTTATATCTAATATATTTGATAATTGATACATTCTATCACCGGAGTACAATCGATTTTTCCCATAAATTATCACCAAGATCCATTTTTGTATCACCTGCATACAATTTATATGACTTATATTTACCCGTTATGCGATCAAAACAAACCTCAGTTGATATATCCTACCAGTAAAAGCTTCTTATTCCAAGAAATTTCTCTACATATTTAAACTTTGCAACTGAGCTTCGCAACTTTTGGGTTAGTTTTTGTATGCGGAAGTCCCATTTAATGTGCAGAGAATAAAATCCGGACTGGTAGGTCGTGTTTGAATCGATTAGTACCAACCGTTTTGTCTGCTATTGCGACAGATATCTTCAGAGGTTGACTGCGAGGGCGATATTTCGATATATTAAGAAAAAGTTGAATTATTTTACGCATACAATATACTACAGTTCAAATATATGATATATTTATATTATGACATATACAAAAATACAAAACATATCCAACTGGGTAAAACAATGTTACCAAAAATTTTCGTTGACGTTACTAGCAAAAAGGCGCCAAATGTGTTAGTGACTGTCAACGGGAAAGAAGGGTTCAGTTTTACTATAAGAAACAAATCTGTTTTTATTCCTTTTGAAAGAAGGGCTGAAATGTCTGGGTAAGTATTCAACATGAACTTGAATTATTATTTCAATAAAATCCGGCAGCTGATAATTAAATGAATTTAAACATTTAGAGTCCTGGCGAAAACAGAATGTGATAAAGTAACAATCGAAATAAAGGTGGATAAGTCGAAGAAAGACGGAGAAGAAAATAATCTACCTTTTTCTATAGAACCAGTTTCTTCTCAGGCCGTCGAGCATGAAGAATTTCAATATCTGAATCACATAAAAAATATAATAGAAAAGGGGGTTAAACGAAGTGACCGCACAGGAGTAGGTACTTTTTCGATATTTGGTGCTCAAATGCGTTATAGCTTACGAAATGAAATATTTCCTTTATTAACAACGAAAAGGGTATTTTGGAGAGGCGTTGTCGAAGAGCTACTCTGGTTTATTAGAGGAAGTACGAATGCCTTTGAACTAAGCGATAAAAAAGTTCATATTTGGGACGCAAATAGTACAAGACAGTTCTTAGACTCCGTTGGCCTAAAAGATAGAGAAGAAGGTGATTTAGGTCCGATATATGGTTTTCAATGGAGACATTTTGGAGCTGAGTACAAAGGTATGCATGCAGACTATAAAAATAAAGGAATTGACCAGTTAGCTCATGTAATAAATACTATAAAAACAAGACCTAATGATAGACGCATCATAATGTGTGCATGGAACCCTATTGATATCCCAGAAATGGCATTACCTCCTTGCCATTGTTTGGTCCAGTTTTTTGTAGGAAATGATGAACTTTCATGTCAACTTTATCAACGATCTGCAGATATGGGACTTGGAGTGCCTTTTAATATTGCTAGTTACGCTTTGCTAACATATATGATAGCACACGTTACTGGACTGAAGGTAAATCTTATTTGTATCCCTCAAAATCTATACTTTAATCTTCATTTTCATCATCGAAACTGTTTAGACCATCAGAAAATATTTACTTAATTTAACACTGTTTCCTTCTCGCAGGTGTAAAAAATCAACCAAACCAAATCTTTTTTTTTTCTTTAGAAAAGGATTTTTTAATTTACAGTGATTGTGAAGTGATCTGTTATACAGGGTATTCTTCAATGGTTTGCATATATTCAAGGGTGTAATTCTGCATGAAAAAATAATGAAAGGTTGCTATATAAACTTGGTTCCAAAAATGTTTATTTACGAAAATACAAGATATTTCGAAGTAAAAAAATGGAAATTATTTAATATTTCCGATAATTTCTTTAAACTTTGTTAATTAAAACACCTCATATTTTCATAACAAAACATTTTGAGACCATTGTTTATAAAGCAACCTTTCATTATTTTAATGCAGATTCAAATATTCACATGTTATTAAGGAACACTCTGTATAACTGACCGTACTATAGCTCTCTGACAAATTTGAAGAGCATTTTTAAAGTTTTATTTCACTTTCTGACACACTATTCTTTATTTTTTAGTTATCCTTGTGTTCATTTCTTCAAATTTGTATTTTAATTATCTCCCAATGTTAGTCTTTCAGTAATGTCTGTAAGACATCTTCATATATGTTAATGATGATGGTGATAAAATTGATGAAATCAATTTTCAATTATCGCAACACACTTGCAGATCGTTTTCGGTCTGTTTGGCTACCTACAGTGTAGGTAATTTGAGATTGGCCTGATTGAATTGTTTATTCAGACAATTTGATTTGCAGACAGTCTCCAAGTATGTTCAATCAGTTTGTGAAGTTTTCTTCCTTATACGAAGAATTGGGCAAATTTCGGATAAGTTGGTAACCTCGTTCACAGGCAGATGAGGCAAGGACAAACATGTTGTTTGTCGTTTGCTTCATTTCAGTTCGAGGAATGCTACTCTGAAAGAATTCGATTTTCAGTTATCAAAAATCATCGTCTTTATGTTGATGATAGACACTACCTTGCACTGAGTGACCAAACAGCCCGAATTGTTCATTTAGACAATTTGTAAACATTTCCTTTTCCACCTATATGGGACCCTTCATATCAAAACATTTATCAGTATGATGACATTGTAAATTAATGTTTTGGAGCAGTACTAAGAAGATATAAAAACAAAAAGATAACCATCACGGCACAAAACTTTCGAGTTGAATTTTATAATTGTTAAAATTCATGTTTTCTGTTGTATATTATTGAAGATATTTTCACATATACCAATATCCCTGACAACAATTATAATTTCAAGCAAAAACCGTACTCGCTTCAGTTTATTCCAATAAATGTTTGAAATGTTTATATGAGTACCATTACTTACTGATGATAATATGTTGTTAATTTATTGCCCAACCAAATGTGGTCCGAACAGGTACAATATAATGTACCAATAATATTAAGAAAATAGCTCATACCCAAAAAATAAGATATATACAAATATTTTGCATTGCAACGCCTGAAAAGATGATACAATTCCATAACTAGTATTCATCACAAATTTAAATGCGAAAAAAAGAACAGGAAAGTATAAAAAAGGAGACACAGTGTTAGTGATGTCAAGGAATACAGCCAGGATTCTAGTAATCATATTCCAGATGCACAACAAGATTCGAGTGATACCATGAAAGTGACTGAGTTTGAAGCACTAGAAAAAAATGCAAACTTTTTATTAGGTGCCGTTTATCATCTATTTGCCGATGCAGACTTTTTCAGGGGTAATACTAAAAATTTAATTATTAATTGTATTTGAAATTGAAAGGAAATTTACCTTTAAATCACACCAAGATGGAAAATTGCTTGCAAATTTATTTAGTATGGAAACTGTTGGTAGATTAGCAAAAATTGCTACTGTCAACGACAAAGAACAATTATTAGGGATATCTCGCCAGTCGGTCATCAATGATTGACTGGCGAGCTATGTGTTTACTGGTATTTATAATTCAGAGGGGGGTGAGGGTGATGATGGGAATGGAGTGGGTGATAAAGGATTGCCCATGCAAATGCTCACTCTTGATTGATTCGTACTTTTGCAGGATCATTTTGATTGGTTCGCACTGTTTCTAGGGTGTTCTGATTGGTCCATGTTGTTGACGGGTGGTTTGTCGATCAGAGTTGTATCCCAGTCTATTTCTGGCCTTCTTGAGCACTGAATACCACGCTCTGTTGGCTCCTATACCTTCTTCTTTTCTGTTGAAATTGTTGCTTATAGATCTCAATGGCCTCCCTAAGAAGTTGTGCTTGGTATTACCAACCAGCTTGGATTTTATTTTCTTAAATCATGATTCCGGCTGTGAAAGTCTATGTTCTTATATCATTCTAAGTAAGAAGCAGAAAAGTAATTCTTTGTGCCGAGTGTTTCTAAGATCCCTTTACCAATAAAGCAGTGAAATCAGGTACCTTGTAATACATTTATTGTTATTATTTTCATTCTATAGTCAGAATGTATTTTTTATTTTCCGTTCTGTTCATAACTTTTATCTGTGTTGATAACTGTATGAAGAAAATATTTGTATAGAAAATTGTTTTTTTATTTTATTTTCCTGAACAATGGTTTAAAATACAATAAAATAATTTACAATTAGAAATAGTAATTTTCCGTGAATTTTAAGTCTTTGGGGTCACCTCAAATTTATCCAATAGAGATGAAATTTTTCAAGAAGCACTTTCTCGTATATTGAAATAAGATCAGGGATTGGTAAGAAAAAAAATCATAAGTTATACATATTTTATGGTGAATAAAGAGTACTATATATTCCTCTTGATCTTATATGTTTATTTTTCAGCCTGGAGAATTCATTCACACTTTAGGAGATAGTCATGTGTACCTGAACCATATTGATGCTCTTCAGGAACAGCTGAAACGTGAGCCCAGACCATTTCCAAAACTCAGAATTAAAAGGACAGTAGAAGATATTGAAAGTTTCACTGCAGATGATTTTGAACTAATTGGTTATAATCCGCACCCTAAACTCAGCATGCCAATGGCTGTTTAATTTATATAATTCATTTGAACTTTTGTAAATATATTTTTATACAATTCTCGAATGATTTTACTGCATTTCCAGCTGGGGCAAATCTGAATTGTTATTGTTTATACAATAAAGGTGGCCACACACAGAACCAGATTAATAGGTGTTTATAATTTTTCTTTTTATACAAGCCACCACAAAGTTCAAGTAAGTTATTCATTTTTGCTCAAATGATCAGTGCTCATCTACATCTGTTTGCGAATTTGTTAGTTGAATTGTACAATTTTAATGCTTGTGCAAAGTAATTTTACAGAATCTCATACATGATTGTGCAAAACTATTAACTAAGCATGCTTTCCAAGCTTGTTTAAAAACAAAAAATATGTTTAATGATAATAATACTTTATTTCCGTGGAGACAATATACATTGTATAGGAATAGTCAATAAAAGAAATAAAAATAAAGATAAAAACAGAGTATAAGAAACATACAAGTTGAAACAACACCTTAAAACTAAATAATACCCTACTTATCTAATCTAAAAAATTCATTCAATGAATAAAAACATTGTTCAATTAGAAAACTCTTTAAATTTCTCTTAAACATCACATAATTATGTTCTTCCCTTGAATGATCGGGCAGTTTGTCGAATATTTTTATTCCAATGTATTCTGGTGCAAATGAAGTTATTCTTAGTCTTGCATATGGCACATGAAATCTATTTTTTGTTCTAGTGTCATAGTAATGAACATTTTTATTCATTTTGAAATGTGTTTTGTTTTTGAATATGTAGCTGCATATTTCAAATATATAAACAGATGTGAGTGTTATGATGTGATAATTTTTGAAAATTTATCTGCAAGATTCTCTCCTTGAGACATTCGCAATACACCGTATAATGCGTTTTTGAGCAATGAATACGTTTTGAGTCATGGATGACCCACTCCAGGAGCAGACACCATACCTCAGTCTTGAATCAACTTGAGCATAATAAATGCTCATTAGTTGAGTGGTAGTTAAAACTGTCCGCAGATTCATAAATAGAAATTTCATTGAATTAAGCTTAGAAATTAGATGCTGGCAATGAGCATTCCAGTTCAAGTTTTCATCAAGAAGAATACCCATGAATTTAACTCTTTTATTCGATTTTGAGTATGTCACATTATCAGCACTGAAACTGAAGTCTTCCATTCTATTTTGTCTATTATGAAAACGAATAATATTTGTTTTATCCGAATTAAAAAATAAATCATGATAATTGAAAAATTCTGATATATGTTCAACTGCAGAAGCACATTTGTCTTTCAATATTTCATCATCTGATGCCGAGATGATCATAGAAATGTCTTCGGCATAAGCTGTATAATGAACTTCAGAAACAACAGAGTCTATATTGTTTATATATAGAATAAAAAGGATTGGGCCCAGAATGGACCCTTGAGGTACTCCCATATCTACACTGAAAGGCTCAGAATTTATTCTCTGGATTTCATTTTTGACCATACACTGGAGAGATACATATTGTCTCCTACCTTCAAGGAATGAGGAAATCCAGTTGAGAGATGCACCTCTTAGTCCATATCTTTCCAATTTCAGTAAAAGTTTTTGATGATAGACGCAGTCGAATGCCCGACTCAAATCACAGAATATCGCTGCCGGGCATTCACCTGCCTCAATATATCTAATTACCTCATTATATAATGAAAAAATGGCAGTATTAGTTGATTTTTCTGCACGAAAGCCATGCTGCGTGTTTGTTAATATTTTGTGTAGATTCAAAAATGAAGTAAGTCGATCCAAAAATGCATATTCGAATATCTTTGATAGTCCATATGGTACTGTTACTGGACGATAATTTTCCATTAAGTTCGGGTTGTTTTTCTTGAAAATGGGAGTTACTTTTCTGATTTTCATTTCTTGCGGGAAGACACCTTTTACAAATGACAGATTAATCAGATATGTTAATGGTTTTATTATCGTTGGAAGAATTCTTTTCCAAATGTACATGGGAATATCATCTGCTCCAGAGGATTTCTTATTTTTTAATTTATTCCCTAATAAGGATAATAGTTCAGTTTCAGTAAATGGTTTCAAGAACAATTGTGAACACATTAAAAAAGTTTTCCTTGAAATTTGTATGTGGAGCTTTATTAACTGATATTTGATTGACCAAACTGAAGGGGGCCTCTATAAAAAATTTGTTGAGTTCGGATGCTACAGTATGTTGATCTTCTACCATAGAATCATCAACTTTGAGAGAAATATTCTTTCTTTTGCAGTTTTTATTTTTGAGATTAGACACAACATTCCATGAGGCACGCATTGTGTTTGGAGAATTGAATATAACACCTTGATAATATTTTTTCTTCTTTTCTTTCATTAAACTGTAATGTGTTCTTTTAGCTTTCCTATAAATAGGTGCAAAAGAGGAGAAAGCAGCCTTCAAGGCGAAAAGATTTTTCAAAGCTTGACTTGAATGTTTTACTTCGGTATCAACCCATTTTTTCTCAACAACTTTATAATAAAAACGTTTTTCAGGAAAATGTATGGAGAAGTTATGTTTTATAATCTCAAAAAAAGAATTGAAGGCTTCATTAATCTCTGAAATGTTATAAATGTACTCCCAATTTTCAGACAACAATGAGTTCTCAAAGTTATTAATATTATATTCACTGAAACTTCTTTTGTATTCAATTTTTGGGGAAAAGGAGGTATGTTCACTGAATTCATCTAACTCTAAGAATACTGTTCTTTGATCAGAAATTTCATTATCGAAGACACCGCATGAGCCATTATTGCGAAAATTTAAGAAAATTTGGTCAAGTATAGTAGAAGTGGTATCTGCCACTCGAGTAGGACATCCCACAACTGGAAGTAGATTGTATGATGATAAGAGAGTACATAATAATTTAAAATTAATATTATGATACAAGTCAAAATTAAAATCCCCACAAAGGATGATATTAATGTTAGGTTTGTATAAAAAATCAAGAACTTCTGTTATCTTATCAAGAAACATATTGACAGATCCACACGGGGATCTGTAACAATTTAAAACAATGGTTTTACATTTGGTCGTTTTAAAAGATGCAGCGCATATTTCAAAGTGCTGTTCAATGCAAAATTTGGATCAATCTATGAAATTCATCTGTAAATCATTACGGGCCCATATACTAACCCCTCCACATTTCAAAGTTGATCTACAATAGGAGCTTACCACCCTCAATATGCAACGAGTGCAGTTCCGATTTCAACCAAGCACAAAAAATACAAACTTTTGAAGTTACAGATTATATCACTATATAATGAATTGATTTTGTCATTATTCAATGTATTTACGTTGAGTAAAATAAAATTTGGATTAAAATTTATGTCATTGCTGCATTCACCTGGCGTTTCCATAAAAAACGGCTAATACATGCACCAAAAGGCCAAACTTCAGGATTCATAGATGTTTTAAAGTTGTTTTCATGAATTGTGACTTTGAAGGATGAATAAAGAGTTGGGAATCTTGATTTCAGTTCCTCGCATTTCACTTCTGGAAAATGTTTCACTAATGACCTTGTTAAGTCCTCAGATGATGTTTGTGGATCCAATCTACAAACATGAAGACTGGCATACTTAGGGACTCCTTTGACAGTTTCTTGATTTTTCCCTATTATACAGGCTCGCTTACGTCTTTTCTTCACTACTTCATTCCAACCTTTATTTTTGGGTGGAGCTTTAAAATCTGTTTTTCCGTTAACCAGCTGTCGCACCCCTACGAACGACAACCCTCAGAAGTCGAAACTTGTGCGAGCTAAGGATTAACGAAGTCTTACACGATTCTTAACACGGGTTGGACGGTAGCAGGTGAAGATCAATCGTTCACACTAGGGCTTGAACCACCGACCAACACGGCAGTCAATTCGAGTGAGTGAACAAAGCACACACGCCGAACCTCTGGACAGGCTACCAGTTAGGTACTTGTGTAGTCTCCTTCAAAGTGACTACTTTTTTATTTATTTATTGAAAATATATTACACAATTTTCTTTCTTAACTGAAGCTTGATATGGCATATTCAATCCACCACTATCAAATCATGAGCTGTTTTCTTTCATGAAGAAATGATGAATAGAATACAAAGCAAATTGCGAAATAGGAAAAAGCAATACAACCATTGATTATAGGCAATTCAAAACACAATAATTACCAAAACGTGTCAGTAGTCAGTAAGTAAGCAGGTAGATCCAACCTGGGTCTGTTCGACTCTCCATGCTAGTACCCACAAAGGCTTATTGTTTTTTATATATATTCAAAGTCAGAAAAATAAGTCCAATAGTCATTAAATATTCATTTCTCCTGTTTTGCATGAATCATTCCATAGTGAGTTGAGACTTCACACACCCATGCCACCCCCTGGGTTGGGCTACCTATCGGGCGCGTCCCCAGGTAGCGGATAGGGGAACGGACAGGGGACTGGAGGCCCTGTCCAGGAAGCCAATGTAGCCTTACAGACGGGGTCGCCGGACTCCTGGTCAGTGGCAGAAATGAGTAGGGTGAGGGGAACTAAAACTCCCCAAAAGACTTTGCAAAACATGCCACCGTGGACTAGCCTACCCAAGCTAAGGTGTAAGGAATCGTGCCGACAGCTGAATGGCTGCAGGGTGATATGCGGTCAAGAACGATCCCCTTGGGGAACTGGGCGAAACCTCATTGTAATCAGCCTACCTCTGGTAATGCGGGGCTCTGCCAGAGGTGACCAACTCTTCCCTTGCTACTAGTGGGAACACTCATGAATGAAACAACACAAAAACCAATCCCGAGGCTGGACAGAAATGCTCACCTCAATCTAAGGCAGTGGCTGGGAATATACATAAATGTCCACCCCAATCTACCGCTTGGAATAAGGCTGGACATAGCAGATCACCTCCAACAGCAAGGGCACTTCCTGCAGCGGGCGCCAAGAGCTCCGCCTTGAATAAAGACAAGGAACCGGCTGCCCCTGCAGGGAAGCACCCTTATTTAAGCACCTCCACAGAGGGAATCCCAAGAAGGTTGAAAAAGCCGCGCAACGACAGTAATATCGC